GCTTGTGTTTGTAAACATTTGACTAAATTACAAACGCTGTGGATGATTAATATTGTGAACAACTTTCGCAGGATCACTTTCGCATGTCGAGAAGTTCATAATATGTGCGTGTGCAGGCGCTCACAGGCTGTTTCATGGGCACACGCAAAGCTTGAAGGTAAACAAACAGCGGCTTATCATAAGCATCTCATCGATGATTATCTACACAGTTGGCATTAAGATGAACATATAAACTTGATCTGACTAACTTCTAGCAGCTAAATGTGTCTGGAAAAATATTCAAAGGCTTTTATCCTCATAAACCGCGCGGACGTAAATGCGTCTGACTGTTGTGATTGGCTAAAGCAGACGTCTCACGTCAGCACGTTCTAGACGTGCACGCGCTTATTACGGCAATCTTCCTTCTGCATTCACACAGCGCAGCATTCCGGCAAATTGCCGGTAATGTTACAACTTCTCTTTCCGGAAAATAGCCAGAACGAATTTGCTGGTATTTTCAAAAAGGACCTGTTCACACATACAACCTTTCCGGAAAATTGCCGGCAATTTTCCGGAAAGGTCTGTATGTGTGAAAGGGGCTATTGTGTGTCTCTGTGTGAGTGCGCGCCGTCGTGGGAGTGCGCAGAGCGTGCGCGCTACCACTTGATGCAGCCACGCGGGCTCTGCGTGGCTCGGACGCGCTTCATTCCCATCTTCTCCGTCTAGTTGGTTTCGATGGTTGACGCTGAGATGAAACATGCGCGTAGCATATGTGTGAGCGCACGGTAAGGTGTTCATCTATCGTGTGCTCGTGTCTTGCATCTGTTTGTGTTGTCCAAGCTCGTCGCTCTGTGTTTACATTGTGGTCGCGTGCTTCAGTCTTGTCCTGTTATTGTGAACGCGTGGTTAATGAGTTCTCTCATTGGCTGCGTGTTCTTGTCCCACTGTTTTGTGAGCGCATGGCTTGTGTTGTCTCTGTCATGTGCTCTCCCGTCTATTGTCTAGTCCCACCCTCCCTGTTAACCCATTATTAGTTAATTAGATTCACATGTTTAACACCTGTTTGTTCACCTGTGTATTAATTTAATTCTGCTTATATTCTCCTCATGTCTGCTGTCCTGTGCTAGTTCGTCATCATATGTAATCGTATGTTACCTTGTCGTGTGTCTGTTCCAGTCCGGATCCCTGCCAGCCTGCCCAGTCTAGTTTGGTTTGCTTGTTTATTTGTTTCGTTAGTGTTTTCCCCCTCGGGGTGGTTTGTTTTGCATACAATTTTATTCTAAATAAATACCTGCACTTGGGTCCTCGCCCCTTTTTCCCCTACACAACCATGACATTTAGACTTTTAGGGCCTACTCACACTATGCCATCCGTACCGTGCCCAGGCCCGTTTCCCGGATCGTTAGAGAAGTGTGAGTGCGCTGAATCGGCTTTAAGCACGGTTCACTTGGCCGGCCCTGGCCCGGTTGGAAGAGGTGTGCCTGAGCGCAGTCCACTTGGGCTTTGGCGCGGGACGCTTGTGTGTGAGTGCAAAACGCGGCAAAGCCCGAAACTGAAAGCGAGACGTGACTTTTAAGGGGCTGTTTCATATGGATTTATTAATCATTCTTACTGTTCAGTGAACGCAAACTGCCGTCGTTTATTAAACACGCAAACCCCTCACTTCACGACAGCTGCACCTTCAGCAGACCTCCTCATTCCTGCAGCATGAGAGCTTTATGATTGTTTATGAGCGCCAAAAGTGGCGGATCTGTTCGGCGAAATATCTGACTGCGTGTCCCCGCATCCCTAAGGACTGTTTGGCGAAATATTTGACTGCATATCAAACGACTGAAACGATATAACTAGAGAAATCTCCACTGTGCTGCTGAGTGAGAGAGCGCTTCTCACTGAACAGCGCAGCAGCGATGACGTAAGCGTGCCGAAGCCCGTTTGTGGTGTGAGCGCGGTGAGACGGGAGGGGGAACAAGCGTGCTTTGGCCCGGTTCGAGGCAACTGTACCTAGTGTGAGTACGGCCTTAAAAACACTGCTGTCATACATTAAGCTACTAAACATTGTTCTTATGATGTATTTAACAAATGACTTCCAAACTCTTCAGATATAGTGTGTGTTAGTTAATGACTATTGATGAACTCCAGCATAACACTGTATGACAACGCTTCAGATGACTGATCTGGAGCCTACCGCTAAATCATCTGTCAGATTCTGGAGTGCTTTACAGCTCTAAAGAACATTATACATGATCTTAAATAAAACTAATACATTTATAGAGATGGTATAGAAGTGTATAACTTCCCTCAGCGGGGAAATGGAGGCCATGTGAATGGTTTATGAGCACAATTAAGTGCACACAGCACGCCATATCATCTGATAATTGTAGGAAGTAATCCCAAAAGGGCAACTGACTGTGTAAAGCCACATCAAACAACACAAAAATGTGATGAATGTGCCGAGTTCAGCAGCTAATTAGCCGGAATCAGCTGAAGTGACGGCGACCAGCAAGACCTAGCTGTCACACAGGTGACCACGCACTTAATTATTTAGATCTAATATAACTTAATATAAACTGAAAGGATGAGAAAATTCACCACCTCACAGTTGTCATGAAGGGTAATATCAGCTATATGAACCAAAATCGTTCTTTGTACCAGGCTGTAAACACCTTTTATTCTGATGTAAAGTCTGCCATTTTAACATTGAGGTCAATAGAAATCTGCTCTGCATGGAGTCAGGACTAGCAGAATGCTGAATCGCAGTTTACTTCTGTGTTAGCTTCACGAGGGAGAGTGGGAGGTGGCCGCTTGGGGTTTGACGCGGCTTTCAGTCCCACCCACACTGGTCATAGCTATCAAGATGACCAATCACAGAGCTTGACATGTACATGTAAATAAATTTTTGACG